ATTACAGTTGGGGGGTGCCCTGGAGAAGTCAGAGAATTAACATTTAAGGCAGACCCCGTAAAAACCTACGTTGCCTCTGGGCCGACGACATAGACCTTCCTGATGCGACAGAATCTTGGCTTACGGGGCGCCAGCGGTGGACGCAGCAGGGTCAGCCTCCGGGGCAGGGCGGCCTCAGAGCCAGCTCTTAATTTGCAAAGTAGCGAAGCCGGCCCGGCCTTCTCAGGTGGTTGATGATGGGGAGGACTGTGAAAAGCAGCTGTGAAACAGAGTGTTGCTAGCTAATGGGGTGCTTACCAGAGGCCCGGAGTTCAGATCCTACCCCTGTCACTTACCACCTGTGTGGCCTTGGGCACAGCCTCCCCCTCCCTGGCCTCCCTTCCTGCCCTGTGAAATGAGGGTAATAATAGGCCTGGCCTCTGCCCAGAAGCCCCTTGAAGGGCACGTGGCTCAGCTCGTGGCTGTGAGCAGCTGCCATTGTTACTGTTGCTATTACCCTTAGTTATCACAGGAGGACCTCAACCTTGAGGCAGGTCTTCCACTCACCTAAGGAGCTGGGCTCCTCACCTCCTTCCTGCCCTAGCCCCGCTGCTCCTCTGGGGGTGGGGCAGACTTCTCCCTCCCACCCCACTCCCACCTGAGTATCTGGGCATCTGCCCAGCAGCCGGGGCCAAAATTTGTGAACCTCCCTCCCAGACGCAGGGACTGGACCTGTCCAACTCCCTCCAGCTGGGTGGGTGCGGGCAGGCGGGGGCAGGGGGTGCAAAGTGGCGGCTGACCCCTGCTAGCACTGAGGTCACCCTTGGCCTGGGTCTGCCAGGCCTTTTGCATCCTCTGGTCCGTCTGGGCGGACTGGCCTAGCCTCCCCCTCCTGGCTAGGCAAACACAACTGTGAAGGTGTGTGTGGTTGGGGGGGCTGTGCTAGGACAAGTCCAAGGTTCGAATGCCGCTTTCCCAGCCCTGGCTGGGCTGCTTTCATCTCACCCTTCCCTGGAGGAGAATTTGAAGAAAGACTGGGGCCTGGCAGCAGGAGGAAGGGGTCCTGGACCTGTGGAGACCTGTTGGTCTCAGGGGCCACCCAAACCTTGGCCCTTCACAGAGTTTCTGATATCAGAAGGGGGCTGCCCTTTATCACTGACTGGATGGGGGTGGGAGGTTAATAAATGGAAAGGGGGAGGTGCTACTGACTGTGGGGACCTCTCCTCCTCCCCATCCCCCAGGCCTTGGGAGGGGCACACACTGGGCAAAGGGCCAGAGCAAATGCAGGTACCGGGGTGCAATGGGGAGCAGAGAGGACTGTTTTAGGGACAAGAGAACTGAGGCAAAGGAAGGTACAGGTGGAGCAGCTGGAGTTTGAATACAATCACAGTCTCACTTTAGACCCCAGCAAATGGGCCAGACACCTGAGCTGTCTGGTCACTCCCTGGGGCCCCCAGGAGGGGAAGGTTTCGTCCCACAGAAACACAGCACGCTGCTCAGTGACTGAGGGGCGGCCCTGGCTGCAAGGCAAGCACCTGCCCGGCTGCAGGGAAGGGTGTTAAGTAGACCAGGGGTGTAATTTGTGGTAATGTCTCACAGTTGTTAAGTGCAGGGAGGCACTCTCTGTGCCACATGGAATACATCCAAGAGACACTAAGTGAAAGAGCAAGGTGTATGCTTAGTGCAATTCCATTTACCTGCATTTAAAGGAACATATGCACATATGTGGGTAGATCCACACAAGCTTTCTGGAAGTGTATCTGTGGGGTAACCCCGCATGGTGGGGGGCTGTGGGTGGAGAGGAGGGAGAATGGAGACTTACCTTTTTATTTCACAAAATGTGTGTGTATGACTTTTTAAAAAGCATATTTTTATTGATTTCAGAGAGGAAGGGAGACGGAGAGAGAGACATCACTCGGCCGCCTCCTGCACGCCCCCTACTGGGGATCAAGCCTGCAGCCCGGGCATGTGCCCTGACTAGGACTCGAACAGTGACCTCTTGGTTCATGGGTCACTGCTCAACCACTGACCCGCACCAGCCGGCTGTGTGTTACTTTTATACCTTACAGAAAAACAGAGTGTAAACTTTCATTTTTAATGGGCCTAAATCTTGACAGGTGAGGCTGAGGAAGGGGGTTTCAGGTGGAAAGAAAGGTACAGAGACCGAGGAGCAAGGGAGCCCTGGGCCCCTGGTCTGGCTGCATCACAGGACAGTTTGTTGGGAGGGAGATGGGGGGCCAGCCTGGGAAGGCGGGCGGGCGGGCAGTGCTGGAGGCGTGAGCTATCAGGTTCAGGTGTTTCTGTTTTATCCCGTAGACAATGGGGAGTTGCCAAGCCGGGGAACGGCACCAATATTTTACACGTGTGTAGCCCTCTTTGCAAAGGGCTTC